TTTGGATGGAATACTCGCAGAAGCGTATGGAAGCTCAGCAGCAAAACCGCCGCCTAACATTGGAGGATCTCGAGGACAGCTGGGATCGCGGTCTTCCCCGTATCAACACGCTCTTCCAGAAGGATCGAAGCACCCTCAGCTTTGATAAGGGCTTCCGACTCCGCGCCGAATTCAAGCAATACCAGCTGATGAAGAGCAATCCATTCTGGTGGACTAGCCAGCGACACGACGGTAAACTCTGGAATCTCAATGCCTACCGCACTGATGTTATCCAAGCATTAGGTGGTGTCGAAACAATCCTCGAGCACACCTTATTCAAAGCCACAGCCTTCCCATCCTGGGAAGGTCTGTTCTGGGAAAAAGCGTGTCTCGCCAAGGGAACCCGTCTGTTGCGATACGATGGGACCGAGGTCAACGTCGAGGACGTGCGCGAAGGTGACCAACTTCTAGGTCCTGACGGAGAGCCTCGCCGTGCATTCAACATAGTGAATGGCATCGACCGCCTGTACCGCATCAAGATCGGCGGGGAGAAAGAAGATCTTGTGGTGACGCCGAATCATATTCTAGTGCTTTATAGGGATGATGTGGCCTCCAATGATTCCCAACCCTCGGAAAGACAAACAGTGGAAATGACTGCTGCCGAGTTTGCTGCCCTTTCTGCCGAGGAAAGAGGTCTGCATAGTGCCTTTACATCTGGAGTTGAGAAAGGCGTCGAAAATTCAGCTCCTCAGATGCACAGTTTCAAGATCGAGCACATTAGCCTTGAATCCGAGAAAACCGAGTGGGCTGGTTTCCGAGTCGACAAAGATCAGCTCTATCTGCGCCATGACTTCCTTGTTTTGCACAACAGCGGTTTCGAGGAAAGCATGAAGTTCAAGAAGCTCACCAACGCTCAGCGATCCGGTCTGAATCAGATCCCTAACCGCCGATTTACTCTCTGGTGGTCACCGACCATCAACCGCGCCAACGTCTACGTTGGTTTCCAGGTGCAACTTGATCTTACTGGTATCTTCTTGCACGGCAAGATTCCCACCCTGAAAATTTCGTTGATTCAGATCTTCCGTGCCCATCTGTGGCAGAAGATCCACGAATCGGTGGTTATGGATTTGTGTCAAGTTCTGGATCAGGAACTGGAGCAGCTTGGTATCGAGGCCGTTCAAAAGGAGACTATTCACCCCCGTAAATCTTATAAGATGAACAGCTCTTGTGCGGATATCCTGCTCTTCGCGACGAACAAATGGAATGTTACCCGACCCTCACTTGTCTTTGATACGAAGGACGTCTACGAGCCGACTACCACAAATAAGTTCTGGATCGATGTGCAGCTCAGATATGGTGACTACGATTCTCACGACATCGAGAGGTACGTTCGTGCTAAGTACCTCGACTACACCACGGACAGCATGAGCATCTATCCTTCCGCCACTGGGTTGATGATTGGCATTGATCTTGCATATAACCTCTTCTCGGCGTATGGACAGTACTTCCCAGGCCTCAAGACTCTAGTTCAACAAGCCATGGCTAAAATCATGAAGGCTAACCCGGCTTTGTATGTCCTGCGTGAGCGTATACGCAAGGGTCTCCAGCTGTATGCCTCGGAGAGCAGCCAGGAGTTCCTCAATTCTCAGAACTACTCCGAGCTCTTCAGCCCGCAGATTCAGCTCTTTATCGATGACACTAACGTCTACCGTGTCACGATCCACAAGACTTTTGAGGGTAACTTGACCACGAAACCTATCAATGGTGCAATCTTTATCTTCAACCCTCGGACTGGGCAATTGTTCCTGAAGATCATCCACACCAGTGTCTGGGCAGGCCAAAAGCGTCTGGGTCAGTTGGCGAAGTGGAAGACAGCCGAAGAAGTTGCCGCTCTCATTAGGTCTCTCCCCGTGGAAGAGCAACCGAAGCAGCTCATTGTCACCCGTAAGGGTCTTCTTGACCCCCTCGAGGTCCACTTGCTCGATTTCCCTAACATTTCCATTCGTGCCTCTGAGCTCCAGCTGCCCTTCCAGGCTGCCATGAAGGTAGAGAAACTGGCCGATATGATTCTCCGTGCGACCGAGCCTCAGATGGTACTTTTCAACCTTTATGATGAGTGGCTCAAGTCTATCTCCCCGTACACTGCCTTTTCTCGACTTATCCTCATCCTTCGAGCTCTGCACGTCAATATCGATAAAGCCAAGATCATTCTTCGGCCCGATAAGACCGTCATCACTCAAGAACACCACATCTGGCCATCCCTAAGTGATGAGGACTGGATCAAGGTTGAAGTGCAATTGCGTGATCTGATCTTAAACGATTATGGCAAGAAGAACAATGTCAACGTGCAGAGTCTGACCAGTAGCGAAGTTCGTGATATTATTCTTGGTATGGAGATTAGTGCGCCCTCTTTGCAGCGACAGCAGGCGGCGGAGATCGAGAAGCAGCAAGAAGAGCAAAAGCAGCTCACTGCCGTGACGACCAAGACTCAGAACGCTCGTGGTGAGGACATCATCGTCACCACTACGTCTCAGTATGAACAGCAGTCATTTGCATCCAAGACGGAGTGGCGTACTCGTGCAATCGCGACCTCCAACCTCCGGACGAGGGCCAACAACATTTATGTCTCTTCTGACGACATTCGGGATGACGGCTACACCTACATCATGCCTAAGAACGTTCTCAAGCGATTTATCACCATTGCCGATCTTCGAGTGCAGGTCACGGGTTACATCTACGGCAGCTCTCCTCCAGACAATGACCAGGTCAAGGAGGTCCGCACCATTGTCATGATTCCACAAGTGGGTAACACCCGGGACGTTCAGCTGCCACACCAGTTGCCGCAGCACGACTATCTCCAAAATTTGGAGCCACTCGGTATCATCCATACGGTTTCTGGGAATGAGCCGCCATACATGTCTGCGGCGGATGTCACACATCACGCACGCCTTATGAACGCCCATCCTTCGTGGGATAAGAAGACCGTGACCATGACCGTCTCTTTCACTCCTGGATCGGTTTCACTTGCCGCCTGGGGTCTCACTCCCGCGGGCTACAAGTGGGGTGCAGAGAACAAGGACACAACTTCGGATCAGCCCCAAGGCTTCTCTACCAACATGGGTGAGAAGTGTCAGCTGCTCCTCAGTGACAAGATCCGCGGTTATTTCCTTGTTCCCGAGGATAACGTCTGGAACTATAGCTTCATGGGTAGCTCATTTGGTAGCGTGGAAAAGAGACCTATCTACGTCAAGATCGACACCCCGCTTAAGTTCTACGATGACCAACACCGCCCTCTGCACTTCCAAAACTTCGCCGAGCTTGAAGACATTTGGGTTGACCGGTCTGACAACTTTGCATAAACATGCGCAGCTGATCTGGCGTTGCAACATCTTTTCTTTCTTTTTCCCAGCGTTGTCTTATTCTTCCCCCTGTTTTTTTTTATCTGGGTTCTTGTATCACGACAACCTTAATTCATGTATTGCAGCGAACAATCTTAGGGAAAAGCCGTGGATCGTGTTTTGTACAGTACAAGTTTCCTTTCGCGAATACACTTTCTATCGCTGAATCTTTTTCCCCCTAATACCTCTTCTGTAAGTATACGAGGATGCGGCTGGCTTCGAAATACGGCACTAGTTGATATCGCCACTTGAAGATTGCCGCGATGTGACTGTGTAGGCCAATAACAGTATAGATATCAGCCGAACCTCCGGAGGTGAAATATAGAAAACAAAACATACCTGCGCAGTATTCAAATGTCCAAGATCTCCGCTTTGATGCATCAAGGTCCTTTATGACAGATGACGGCCCGCATGCAGCTAGTATAATTCGGCAGCCCATCCGAATCACATCTGTAGTCGACAAATTCGGGCAAAGGGCAGTGTGATGGTGTGACTCAAATTTCGTTATGACTTCGATGTGACTACCAACTTGACCTCAATATCTCTCTCGCTGATTGTTAGCTCTTTCTTCCAACATAGAACTCCAAGTCCAAACGCCCATTATTGTTTTTTGTTTCAACCCCCTGTTATCTTGTTCTGTTCTATTGGATATCTGTGACTCCCGCAGGCCTTGGCTCCGAAGAAACCCGGTGCAATAGAATAGCTTGCCATCGCTTACTTGACTAACCTATACTGTATCAATCAGCCGATACATGTCCGCCTCTTTTACAGCAAGACGACATGGAAGATCGGTCCGACGAATGAGCTGTTTGGTTTTCGATGTCCCCGGAGTCTGACAGGCTTCAGCTGTCCGCGATGACCTTTTTTTGTCATAGCTCTTGATCTTGACCCTGGGCTTACCCTGGTCCTATGTTTTGCGTTTGATGTCCATCCCCATTAATAGGCGCTTTTCCAACTATACTTATGAAGGAGGCTCTACCGTTTCTAAGGTTTTTTTTTATTTTATTTATTTATTATTGAACCCCTCCCCTCGACGTTGGGAGTTGGGAGTTGGGAGTCTGTGCGAAAGCAAAGCGGGAAAAACTTCTATGGAGACCGGAAAGATGGGATACAACCTGCCTATCCCGAATAACTTGACAGTCATTCAGTATCCTCTTGCAGTCTGGTCCACTGGAGACTAATAGAATCAGCCCGGCAACGCACGCTCCAAGTTGGTCACCGGCACAGGTTTGGATTTTCTCTCAGGGGGCTCTCCAGATGATATAGATGTCTCCATCGCTTCATTTCCCGTTCACTCATCTAGGAGATCTTTTCTACCTTATCCTATGCATTATGACAGACCGAATCTTCTGCAAGGCCTTCCTACAGTTTGACCCAAAGTAACCCTATCTATTCTCTTCTGCACGTCAACGCGTTGAGGCCATCCTCTTCTTTGTTGCGATTACATATACAGGCAAGTTTCTCTTCGCATCGTCCGCCTATGCAGCAGCAAAGGTTTTTCTTTTTGGTTACCTTGCAACTCCAGAGAGACACCTAAGCGATAGACACACCTTGAATCGTTCATTTCCCAGCAGTCACTCAAGTCACTTGCCGAGGCTGCAGGCCTTGGTATACTTTGTATATATGTCTCCTTCACCAGCGGACCCTTATCGAGGTTCCATGGTTAACTACAGTCCCCATGACAGTGGTAAAGATGTGAACCGAGAGGATATCATTTCCTACGGCGAATCTCCGCTGCTCCTCCAAGACCGGCCTGGATTTCGCTACTCCGATACAACCCAGCCAACCTATGTGTCTCCGCCGGCTTTTATCGCGGACCACTCGCTACAGCGGCAGCCCTCGCATTACCATACACATGAATATAGACTCTCTCCAATCCAAGGTAGCAGAAAGCGACGACGTATCGATAATGAGCCTGGCGCCAACGAAGGCACTAATCCCAACTATGGGTATCGAACTATCTTGCAAAATCTACCCATGGGTGACCCGTCGGCTCCAGCAGGCGGATCGACCGACTTGACGTACGCTGATCATGTCGGCGCTTCCTCTTCTCACCAGACATCGAGCCAGGACTACCTCCAAAGTTCTCTCCCGCAACAGCATCATCACCATCGGCTACCACCCCAATCGTTTGCAGCTATAGGTCAGGGCTCTGGAGCGGGATCATACTTGCCGCAAATCGACCGTAGTCACTTGACCCGTCCAGGCATGCCTAAACCTTTCCCCGCGCCCAGAGCACCAAAGACTAGATTCGGTCCTGAGGAAGATGCGCTGTTGGTAAGACTGAAGGAGGAGTTTCAGCTTTCCTGGAAGGATATTGCGTGGTTCTTCCCGGGGCGAAAACAAGAAACATTGCAAGTCCGTTACTGTACCAAATTGAGGGAAAGGGTTGTGGTTTGGGATGATGCTTTGGTATGTACATGTCATCCCCACAAAACTAATAAAATTGGGATTAAGCTAAGTCTGAGGATAGGATCAGAAGCTGAGAAAGGCGCTGGAGGAGTATGAGTACAACAAATGGACGCACATTTCCCGGAAGCTTGGGCCTGGTATACCACCAGCGACGTGTCAGCGGAGAGCCAAAGAACTTGGATGAAATTGGAGTTTATATTTTACTAGTTTAGATGAACTTGTGTTTTATACTGGGACTTATGGTGTCTAGGACATTGTCAATGGATGCCACCCCATGCCCTACACAGAGAAGCCCTATCTATTCCAAAAACGGACATTCTGCCGCTAGATGAACAGACCGCCCGTAGAGAGCTCCCGCCAATCAAAAAAAGGCTGACTCATCTTTAGTCGTGGTCATATTGGACAGCCCATCAACCAATCACAGGCGCTCGGGCCAAAGCGGCTTCAAACTCGCCCAACCTCAAACCTCCAAACTCCCTCTCCTGCCCCAAACGCCCCGCGTCATTCTTCCCATTAACTCCAGGACAATGTTCCTCCAACGTACAGCCTCCGCTCTCGCAAGGCGCTCGCCTGCCCGCGCTTTCACCCTCGCCCAGCGCCCTTTCTCATCCTCCATCATTCGCTGTACGTGACTTCTCACATGGCCTGATCCGGTCTACGCACAACTGCTCCAATAACCTGCGCACACCAACCACAAAGGATCATATACAATCAGTTGATATGAAAAACCTATTATGATCACCAGCTAACGCGAAACTCTTATAGCCAATGAGAAGAAGTGGACTCCCAAGCAGGATGGCAAGATCCTGACCTTCGAGGGTGAGTGCTTTCCCTAACCCTATAGCAGTCAATTGCTTTTCATCTGGACTTTGCCGTTCAAGAAGTATTCATATGATGGCCCACTCGAGAATCTGCGTGCAATTGGACGCCAGAAACTTCGGGTGCTGGTCATGCGGATACTTTTCCCGAGCCACGGGCCAGACTCGTCATTCTACATGAAGTGAATATCTACAAAACACAATACTGATTTATCTCTCTTGCCTACATATAGAGATCAAGGTCGAGGATGACCTCGTCGCTCCCGGTGCCAAGCCCGGTACCATTCCCACCGACGTCGAGCAGGCCACCGGTCTTGAGCGTCTGGAACTCATCGGAAAGATGCAGGGCATTGACATCTTCGACATGCGTCCCCTTGATGCCTCCCGCAAGGGTATGACCCCTTCCCTTGAACCTCCCATTGCAAATCATGAATACATGAGCAAATACCAGCAGGATTCTCATAATCGTTACTCTCGGGTGAAGACCAAGACATTGGCTAACCAAATCGGTGGATTTCTACAGGCACACTCGAAGACCCCATCATTGTCAACGGCGCCGGTGATGAGCAGTACGCCGGTTGCACCGGTTTCCCCGCAGACTCTCACCAGGTCAACTGGCTGACTGTATGAACACCCCATCCAAGCCCAACGGTGTCGATATCTCCAGCTCTAGAGACTGACTATCTGCCTTTTTAGGTCTCCCGCGAGCGCCCCCTCGAGCGCTGCCTTGAGTGCGGCAACGTGGTCAAGCTGAACTATGTCGGACCCGAGGAGGACCCCCACTCCCGTATGTTTCCCGCTCTTTTTCTTTTTGGTCCGTAGTATATGATAGTCCACTGGTCATGCTAACATTCTCTTCAGACGACCACGACCACGGTCACCACCACCCCCCTCACGTCGAGCCCAAGACCTTCGCCGACTACGTTAAGCCCGACTACTGGTACCGCTAAATCTTTAATGCCGATTTTCTGCTTGCGCGGCGGTTTTCTTTGGTTATTGCTTGAAAACCCCAATACAGTGTGAACATTATGCTGCGTGTCTGTCTGTCTCTGTTCTGTCTACGTGACTCTTCTGTCTCTTTTGTACTATAGTGCTCTAGTAGATGAAATGAGAGTGTTGGTGGGGTCCTTACTTTTGACTTAAAATTGTTCTGGTTCGTAATTACTACGTGATGGGATATCGCTATAGGTCCTGTTGCTAGACCTTTGGTATTGATGTTAGGAGCACTGGTATCAGAAAGAAAATCACGCTATTTTTTTAGATGAATTAATTGGCGGCACTTCGGCTCTCGGCCATCACCGAGCACGTGGTGCCGAAGGAAAGTCTATCCATTATATCACTTTTAATCTAATGTATCTAGAAAACTGCGGTGGGTTAGTAGATCTCAGCCTCAACCCCCTCGGGAAGTAGATAATGAAACACTGCGCAAAGCCTCGCTCAAGAAGAACCAAGATCACTCAAATGTTTGGACAGGACATTATACATCAGCCAATGCCTAGCGACCCACGAAGCGAAGTTCGATAAATCTGAGAGGGGGTATACGAGGGCAGTCCAACAGAACCCGACGTAGATTCCCATCTAGCGAGCGATAAGTTAGGATCAAGAGACACACATTGTGGGAAGTGGGATTCAACTTACATCAGCACCATATTCGCCGACCAATTTGGCAATGGGTCCGATGTACCACACCTGCGCCATACACAACACGGCGCCAACCCAGCCAATAACAAAGGCAGCGAAAGCCGCAATTCCAATGGGCAGCTTTGATGGATCCCGCCAGATCGCCCAGTTGTATCCTGTGCGAAGACGGAAGATGAACCGCTCCTCGAGAACAATGGCAATCCAGATGACAACCCAGTAGCCCATCAAAGCGAGGAAATTGGTGAAAATCTCAGAGAGGTTGCTGCGACCAACTAGCGCACAGACGGTATAGATAATGACGGCAATGGTATTCCAGATGACGCGCGGTACTGCCTCGGCGTAGCGACCGAGGATCTGGAAGTCGATTCCAGCGGAGTACGTGGGCGCGACGGTATTGGCAATCAGGCCTAAGGCGCAGATCACAGAGCAGAACTTGCCGAAGCCGTGTAGCGGGCCGAATCCCTCGACGATAAGTGCTCCTTGGCCTTGCTCGTAGGCGGCAGAGTACTCTGGGTGGGTAGAAATGCCCGAGGCCAGCCCAGCACCGCAGACTAGAGCCATGGTGAAGGAGACGAGGAGGCCTGCCAGGCTTAGGCTGAATAGCTTCACGGAAGAGGTATTTTCGGGGTAGTAAACGAAGAAGTCGGCCGCGAGTGGGGCGTAGGTGACTGCGGCGCTCAGGCAGATGGAGAAGAAGGATAGCCTAGAAGCATGTTAGAAAACCTTGGGACGTTGATGATTAGGTTTAAGGTGCAGACTCACCTATTACCAGCTAATGTCCTGGGATCACCGACAGAGGTGGTTGACAGGTCAAACTTTACAGATGATACCCCAAAGAGGATGAAGACCACAATTACTTGGGGCAAAAAGGCGAATCTAATTTGAGACAAGTCAGTGACACTGTCCCTCGTGGTATGAGCCGTCAAACTAACCGCTCATAGTAGTGGAAGACTTGGATGCCGAATGTGGCCACAGCCCAGCTGAGAACCGCGATGATCACAATGCCTGAGATATCAGTATTAGTATCACTACTAATGTGTAGAGTTCACCAGTTTGCTGATCACTTACCGACAGCTACAGACATGCCGCCAGGGGAGACAGCAGACAAGATTTGTCCGCCAACGACGCAATCGATCAAGCCGTATCCAATCATCTGAACAAGATTTAATAGAACAATGATCTTGCTGGGCCACCAGCCCATCGAATACCTCCCAAAGGCCTGGTCACCAATTAGCATTCTCTATCAAACAATGATCCAACAGCTTCCATGTGTACTACGTACCAATGTCCGAATCCCGGAAGCGGGCCCCCATGTGGCCATCCAAGAGGAGACGATGGAACCAACACAGGCGCCAAATACAGCGCAAAGCGCCGTGTCCCGGAAGCTGAGACCATACACGGCAGGCCCTAGCATCCCGAGGGTAATGTTATTGGGTGCAAGGTTGATAGAGATCCAAAGTAAGAACACTTGTAGATACGACATCCAGGTGTGGCGCTTCATGCGCTCATCTGGAGCGACTCGTTCAATACCCCGCGCTTCCAAGTTATACTCGATGAGCTGGTTCTCAAAGGCTTTGATAACGGAGCCCAATCGTGATCCAACGGGATTGCGGCGATTGGTCGTGGTCTCGGCGTAGATTCCCTCATCTTGATTGGCCACATCAGGGGTTTCAGTAGTCAGGTCTTTCTTGTTGGGGTGTACCTCTAGGGCAGTGATATCATTTTCCGGTGCCATGCTGCGTCTCTGTTAGTATCACACCTAATCGAGGAGAGTAAAAGCGCATTGAGTCCTTTCGCTGGAATTACCCAGATCAAGTCTAACCGTATATTCTCAGAACGACGATTGTCGAACACCGGTCTTCATGCAGGAGGTTTGTCCTAGATACCTTGATCGTGAGAGAATACCACGCTACTCGTCTTCATGGTAGCCGTGAGGTTGTGTTACCTTCCGAGAAGAGTCACTACAAATACCGTAGCATCAGCGGACTTGGTTCAAGGTAATCTCAGGGTTCGGTATACCTTGTAATGTGAGGTTCAATTCGAAAACAAAGTAACAGTGCACTTGTGAAAAGCATCCAATTTCCAGTGGGGGAAAAATGGGGGGGCAATTGCCGGGGGCAAAAAATAAGATCCGCCCGCTTTGGCCTTTTTCCGCCTCCACCTTAGCTGGAGATATCCATTGTATGTTGTACATACACCTTTACAAAGTACATTTCCTTCTGCTCTTCTGCTAATGCAGTTTCCTACTGGAATAAGTAGGAATCATATGGTATTGATGGACACAAAAGCGCAAAAAGAATCAGCGCTTGTCAAAAAAAAAAAGACGCCTTCAAGGAAAAAAAGAAAAATAAGAAAAGAAAACATGGAGGCGCAGGGGTCCATAGCGCACATAGAATAAGAACCAATAAAATTGAAAGAGATCCAGATCACCAACTCCATCTGCCTTGTAAAATCAATGACCTCCAGCGGCCACAGATGAAACTTGCATCGCTCTGGAATTGCAGGGAATCCGGAAGAGAGAATGCCAAATTCGTAAAAGATGCTAAGAAAACGATATCATCACTTCATCAGAGGCGTCATCGTCAGACGTTCTTGAAATGCTCTTTGGCATACTGTTCGCAAGCCTGTCGGAAGATATTGAGATTAGATGGCACAATGACATGCAGGAAATTCCGATACTCACTTTGGCAGGCTTTCCCACTTTCTGACCGATCACCTTCCATTTGTTTGCCTCGTACTCCTTGATCGCCTCGCGAAGCTTCACAGACTGTGCGACGTCAGAGGCGGATGCGACAACGGACATTAAAAATAAATCGGGATCATACCTCATCTTCGGCAAATTCCGCGTAGTGCATGTCCTGCGTAAGGTGTCAGTAAGACAAGACATGGTATTACTGGGTTCGCTTGATATTGCGTACCTTATACCAATGCTTCTTGACACTGCCCTCGGTTCGGGTCGGGAAAGTCTACAGGTAAAAAAAAAGAGAGCCAGGTCAGCAACCCATAGCTTCAGCCTATAAAAAGCCGTGCGCGCACCTTGGCGATTTCGCTCCAACTGCGCCCAGCGTCGCGCATTGTCTTAAGCCTTTGCTCCTCCTCTGCAGTCCATGGGGTATTTGTACGTCCCTTTTTCTTGGGCGTAGACTCCACCGTGGGAATGGCACCGGGGTCATCAATTACACCCGTAGGATTCCCTGAGGCTGCCATCATGGCTGAGGATCCCGTAGGAGAAGGTGGACGTTTGCGCGAAGCGCCGGGGTTTTGTTGAGGTATAGGAGCAGTCGGAATCGGGATGCCTTCAAAGGTTGGGACGCGGTGGAATGGATGGATTTGTTGTTGGGCAAGCATATGCGGGGGAGCGCTGGTAGTCGCCGACGTCTTGAGGCGCTTAGATGTCGGAGGTGAACTAATCGGGTACAGAGTCAGAGAATAGAAGAAACATATGAGTTGAAGCCATATGGTAAGATCGCGACCAAGTGCACTTGAATTCCAACCCAGTCTCCCTCCCACAGCTGGAGGCCGGATGGAGATCACAGACGAAGGGACTTACGACATGGTGAAAGACACACTTTTGCAATCACACTGTGCCGATTCATCTGTACATACAAAAAGGCCGCGTAGGGGGGTTAGCAGGATCTGGTACTGGCGCGCCTTGGTCAACTCTCAGGAAGCGTTACACTAAAGACGATGACACAGGCGCATCCCAGGCAGAACCAGACTGACCAAGGTAACAGAGACAATAAAAAGGTATAAATCGCGACACAGAGAAGTCCAGAATTCCGACCGGAGTGTTTTAAGTCCTGTGTAGTTGGGGGGGTAGCCAAGGGGAAGCTCACAGGTCAAAATCGCATGGTCGAAGCGTCGATTCGGGGACCTCGAATTCTTCCGAATACGGGGAGAACATGAGGCTGGGAGGACGGGTTGACTTTGGAGGGGAGGTAAGGTTGAGGAGAGGAACCCCCAAGAGAGAGAGAGAGAGAGAGAGACAAAAAAAACCCCGAAGACTTTAGCCAAAAAAAAAAAGGACAAGGAGAAAGAGAGAGAGGGAGAGAGAGAGAGACAAGGTTACAGAGGGAAGAGAAAGGAGGAGAAGTGTGAGAGGAAAGGAGCGGGGATGGAGTCACCTCATATCACAACAAAGTAATAATAGCACTTGGGATATTTCGAGTTAAGATCTATATAGCTTTTGATTTTGATTTTGATTTTGATTTATATCTCGCTGTTTTAATCGGTCTGATTTAATGTTTTGATTTTCTAGATCTGTTTTCCTAAGAACCCCTCCATTACCTTTCTCTATATCCCTTTTATGTTGGCCTTTTCTCCTTATATCAAATGTAGACTATTCATGCAATCAAATTAAAATTCAGTGTCGATTCAAATGCGCCTCCAACCACTTTCCTCCCCTCCGGTGCATTCCACAACCCGTTCTTGCCTGGCCTAGGAACCGATGCCCGGACAGGGGCCCTATCACAATTCATGGCTCATCCTGGGATCCAATTCGACCAACATCAAGATGCAGAAGCAAGAATAACCACGTCCGACAGATTCCATGAGACATTTGGGCCGAAGAGACCCGCGAGTGGCCTGTTCCAAAATCCGGTGACCCGGCGAGATCTCACAACACCGTGCGAGGATGACAGGACACGCCCAATGCGAGTTCACGACACGCCCGAGGGCCTAACTATTGTAAAGGCATCCAGTGGCCCCGGCAACTCATCCTGCGATCACCAACAGTCAATCGACAGAAGTAGAAGTCTCCGTCCAACCCGACACTTGGCGGGCTAGATCAGCCACAAGACGGGTTCGTGTGAAGCCACCGCGTAGCATCCCCTCTTTGCACCCATGCAGGTCGTGATTGAGAGCATGCACGGTATGGGGTAGAAGGTCTAGATAACCCTATCAGCATCTCCTTTTGGTTTTTTAGTACCGCGCGGGGTTCATTCAAGGCGTGTATATATTCAAGAAGCCCAGCCTCTCAGAATCCTGCCGGCGTTTTTCTTTGTCACACACAGTTCATCCCCCCTGTCAAATCTCCAATTGGTGATAATAGACAAGTTTGTCGATGACCAAGCCGACCAGGTCGACTGGATTTCCTGGCGGTATCCATTGACTCTGAGATATCAAATGGAGTGTCTCCAGTCAGGTTTGAGGATGCATGCAAAGGATCAGGTGTGCTGAATGTCCTGGTGCAGTATATTATCCATGCAAATAGGTAGTGCCAAGAGTTGCTGGGGGCGTATTTATGACTTGCATCACCGGTTTCAATAAACAGGAAGTGGTTTTCTAAAATCTAGGGATATTAAGTTCCTTGATCAACCCAACCGAGAAGATATGTGTTTCCATAGAAGGTGCTAATATTCCTGAATACTAGACTCATGCAATAAAAGGACTCGTTGAATATGACCAACTCCTTGCTGTTTGTATCCCGTCAAATCGTTTCAACCGTTCTACGATGAAATAGACTCCTTTCCACCAGACCAAACCCCGTTCTTACTACATAAGTGATCACTGCTCCCTACTCCTGGGAATATCAACGGTAATGAAAATGATGATTGGGTACTACTCATGCTGCAGCGATTACATCTGCTTTGGGAATCTTACCGCGTCGCCTGCATCACTTGGTGCATCTAGGCCTGAATCCACCACGGCTACAAACGCAAATAAACAGATATTGATCTTCCAACTGGAATCCCAGCTCATTGGTATAACTCCAGAAGCTTAAGAAGAGCCTCGAACCAACTTTTGATAACTCAATGTCTATTGAGTAAGTTGTGCGTCCTCATGGCCTTTGCTCCTGAACATCCCCGCATCTTTTGTTTCTTTAGTTCATATCATATCCTCTAATGATTCTTGGTGGGCCTTGATTTTTATGGCTTGCTAAAAGCAACATTCCTCACAGTATGTCTAGTACCTCGAAGTTCGATCATCGAATTATATATATTTCTTCACAATTTCCACCTGTTGTGAGTTCCCCGCGTATATATACACTGGAACAGCGGTGTTGAACAGCACATGTCAACCGTAACTACACTAGGCAACAAGATAGAATCAAGAGGTATGCAGCTCTTTCGTCATCTAATAAAATCAATTCACCATATTTTTTTTTTCGCCAACTACCCCAGAGCTTCCAATACACGCTGACGTCAAGCTCACGTGAGAGGAAGACACGCGGCCCAAGCTTATGTGGATCACCGATAACGAACTCCCAGTCACTCCAACAGCGCCAATATCCTTACCAGGTTGCATCTCCCTGCTTGATCTCATTGGAGGGGGGAACGTATATACGAAAAAAAAAGCCAAAGAACAAAGAACTCATTTCTTCTTCAGTCTACGGAGTACTCGGCACCTGATTATTCTCATTCCACCAGATACTTACCGCCGACCTCGATAGTGATAGCTTGACAAGTGTCCACACCCCACGTCCAACTTACTGTTTGATTCTTCGACCACGTACAGCCATGGTGGCCTGGAATGTCTTTCGCATAATTGCAGATCTGTCCCACTTAGGGTCAATATGTGTCCTAATTTGGGCTATTCACAAGAATAAGAGCGCTGAGGGTTCGTACATCCCTGCATCAATCTGATTGGAGCTACCTAGGTACACTGCAAAGGTTACTGACACGTGAAATTGATTTAGGCGTCTCACTCCTCACGCAGCTTCTTTATGGTGCCGTCTTCATATTTCGCTATCTTGATTTGCTTGATCCCCACACGTACACGCGTGGGACATGGCACGGCATTTGGAATGTCTCTTTCAAGCTCTTCTATATCATCTCATCCGCATATCTGATATACCTGATGATGAAGGTATATCCGCGGACGCGAGAGAGAGAGCGAGCTTGGAAACTCGGTTTGTGGTCTGTGGCTGGGTCCGCTGTTTTGGCACCTATTTCAATCTGGCTTCTCGAAAAAGAGGCTTACAATGCATGGTTCCTTGAAGTAAGTGGGACAAGCCCAAAGTATTCATATTCTGCAGTTTAACATATCCAATCACTTAGTTTTGCTGGGCCTTCTCCATTATTCTTGAGTCTGTGTGTGTTTTGCCGCAGCTCCTTCTCCTTCGTCAGACCACTGTCCCGACGGTGATCGACTCATATTACCTACTTGCTCTGGGCTCTTACAGAGCATTCTACATCCTCAATTGGATAGTCCGCCTCGCCAATAAGGAGCCCTTCTATGATTGGATCGCCGTCGTGTTTGGAATTGTACAGACCGCCTTTTATGTCGACTTTGCATGGGTATACTATTCGCGCCAGCGAGTCAAGCTTCGCAATGGTGGTGTCGTTGACTCCGAGGACTATGGGAACAGCTGGCTGGTGAATCGTGTGATGAATTTCCGGACATCGCGACGCTCTGCAGACGAAGAACAGCACCTTCGAGACGAGGAGGAAGGTGTGGATGGTCAATCAAACCAAAACCGATGGGGCGCTCGTGGTATTTCCATAGCAGCCGACGATACCCTGGAAACCAATGGTCACAACAAGGGACATCATCATGATGATAGCTTAGATGGGTTTTCGGGGGACGAAGACGAAACGGATGATCACCGGGTGAACGATTCTCGTTAAGTGATGATTTGCCATGGGCAGAGTCGTTCACGGCGACACGTATATGTCAGTCAAGTTGGTTTTTGGATGTTAAGCAGAGCTCTCTAGGCCTCTAAAGGGGTTGATTGCACGGGAAGACCCGCCATTGCTGTTATAATCTGGTCATCCCACAGGAGTTGATACCTACCTTTCGATTCTCGGGCCTTTGGATAGAAGTAAGCAATGAGAACATGTATGAAATATACCATACGAGCTCCAAGCTGCTTGGGGCCATTTGATTTCCTTTGATCTAGGAGCCTGCTATGGATTCTGATTTCTTGTACAATATGTCTGGAAATCGGCCGGTAAATGGTCCTACGAGATTGTCTATGGGGTCTTTTTTAGCTGCCGCTTTTATGGGGGCGCTCTCGGGGTGAAAAAGTGTTACCTTTAGGGTCCATGGGTATCTATGAGTCTAGCCCCCGTATATTCGGCATACCTAAAGGAGCACTTGGCCCCCAAAGTATGGTGAATCAATATGCAAGTAGCTATCACATAAGATAAGCCAGGGACAGAAGTTCCTACACGAGAAAGTGAGAAAATAAAGAGCCAATAGTCAGTTGTCAGTATTCAACATCCAGGAAATACAAGCGTTTACTACGCCTGGGAACGATCTTCAAAGTCTCTACGGAGCACGGCGTACATGTCCCGAGATTCAACTGGTTACTCCCCCAGAAGAAAGATACATGGGAGCTATCAACTCCCGATGTTTTCTCGACTGCGATGTGCAGATCCACAAAATGTGAGCGTGTTATTCAAGGTCCAGACACTGGCTTTTTCTCGGGCGCTTAGACGCAGGATGTGGCTCGGAGAGGTGACCTCGGAAGCAAACGATCACCGGAGAGGTGGAAAATTGAGAGGGGGAAAAAACTGCCATAGTTCTTTTTTTTTTTCTCTTTCTCTTTTTTTTTTTTTCTGCTAGAGATCCCTACATATGCAAGAAAATTAGAAATGAAAGAAAATAAATATCACAAAGAATGTTCCAAGGTTGTTCTGCATCTTCGAGATGACCGGGGTTTACCGGGTGTCTGCATCAGCGCTTAACCAGCGGTCATGAATTCTCCGTGGACAAAGCCACGGCGCGTGGGGTCTTCTCAGCCTCAAAGAGTTTTCGGCCATCTATGGCCAGTCAAGAGCCGCCCGTCTGGAGCAACGCCTCTGGGGAATGAATGCATGGAGATTGCATGGAGAATGCATGGAGAAGGATCATGATCCCTCCCATTCCCACAACCGGTGTGTTGGAATCTAGCGTCACCTTGAGGGATTTTCTTTTCTTCTTTTCTTCTTTTCTTCTTTTCTTCTACTTCTGGTTGCCAAAATGAAATATTAGCGTAGAGAGGCACAAGGCTGACTTGAGATCTTCATGAAGAGGGGCCAATATCGGATTTGGGGGGCAGGTGAACGTTTTTGTCTGACTATATTGAAACCTGTATATCATTGATGGGCTTAGTATTGATATTATAATTTTCAATGGGGTCCAAAATCCGTCCGGTGGATTCCTCCAGAGCTCTAAGCGCTACGCTTTGTCTCCTTTGTGGAGGATCCTCCACAACCCTCAGCAGCGCAGTAATTCCTGTTTGAATTATTCTTTTTTATTTTTTGGCCCGTTGTAGTGGGTCTGAGGTCATGGACTGACTTTAATTCCTATTCACCATGCAGAGTCTGAGCCCCCATCCAGGGATGGGGGCGGAATATGGATATCAACATTGGACTATTGAGCCCGCAGCGCTTAAATATAGGCTCTCGTCGAGTCTTCATGAGTTTCCCTACGTTCTAATGCGGCACAGCGCTCGTCGGCGGTACTGATCTCTGTTTTGGTGCTCTCTGAGCCTATGGTTCATACCTCTACTGATTGTTCACACCGTGCCTTACGAGGCATCCCCGGTGCTGGCTGTGATATCGCTCAAAGTGGAGGACAGGCGGAATTGTGCATCTTTCTTGCTTTTAAATCTTCCCCTCTTTTCTTGCTCGCATGAATCTTATAAAATCGACTCTCGTCGGTGGTTGGGAATGTGAATATTTTCTTCAACATCCTCGGAGTGGAAAGCCTTATTGATATACACATACAACCCTAACTGTTCAGCAAACCACCATAGTCTGCCAGCCGCCTGCAGTTCCACATCTTCCCCTACATCGAGTTTCACATCTCGTTTCATATTCTGCTGCTTCGGCGTTTATTCTCTCCACTCGGACAGCGCAGTGGACTCGTGAAACTTCCCCGTGTTTTATGTTTTGCTTGAGTGCAACCAGTCAACATCATGTCTAATCGCTCGGGTATCCCCCCTCTGAGGAATTGTCAGAGTACTACGAAGATATCCCAGCTCATTGGCCTAGTCAACCGGTATGTCCATTTGCACTTCTGATCCAAAACACTGTATGTTTCAACATGAGCTGATCCATATACCATCTAGACCCCGTATGTCGGAGCCACCAGCCCGTACTGCACAGAGCCTCTAGCTCCATCCAGCATCCTGACACCAATCAGTCTCCCGGACAGCTCGTTTCGTCCCAGCCCAGCAATCAGTCATCACTCACATGGCTACGGCACACAAGAATACCATTATGGGATGAATGACCCCATGTCAGCCCCAGTGGGCCTCGGTATCTCTGCACCGTTCCCAAGTGACTTCCCCCGGTCTTCAGCACCCGCTTCCGCCTATCTGTACGCCCCGGGGCCAAGTGATCTCCATCATAGCGTGGGACAAACGCCTAGCCAGTCGCCACAGGGCCCACCACCAGCTAAGCGCGCCAGGCACCCATCCTCGGACGCACCCTCGCGGGATCAACCAAGCAACACTCCAATCAACATCGCTCCCAATCCAGAGGGCCTTCTCCGGATGGAGCAAGATCGCCAGAACATCCAGCCATCTCCACATATACTCCCTAAAGTCCGAGCTCCAGGCCGCGGGCGACGTGATCCGCGAGCAGAAGACGAAGATGCATTTGTAGAGGAGCTGCGTGATAGACAAACGGCCTGGAAGGTCGTGCGTCAAGAATTCCGGGAAAGATTCAATAAAGATGCCTCCGAGGCGCGCCTGCAGATGCGTCTCCATCGCCGACTCCGAGAGCGAATGGTGCGCTGGGAAGAATCAGATGTGAGTATGTACCTCCCGCAACATATGGTATACACAAGCTATAGGAGCTGGAGTATACACCTGTTGAACACCCATGCTGAGACGCAAGTCTACTAGATCAAACTCCTAATCCACGCCCATGGGATCTGGGCAAAAGATAAATTTCATTTCCTCTCGGACAAGGTGAGCTTCCCTATGCTCGTATTATATAGGAAACGTTCTAATGTGTCTTTTGATCTTTCGTAGATGAAAGAACTTGGGGGTACTAGACTGTATTCACCTGATCAATGCAGAACTCAACTTCGACTTTTGGACACGAAAAAACAACATCGTGATCGCTCGAGTGAATCGCCATCTGCCATGTCTGATCCTGCTCCTACCACACCTACTGTGTCTCGAAAACGACCTCGAGCTCAGTCCCTAGAGCTGGAGACTGACAACGAGGAAGCGGCCTTTTAGATTCAAGCGCGTTTTTCTTTTCTTTTCTTTTCACTTTTCTCATCCCTTCTTTTCTTTTTCACCCTTCTTCTTCCATCTCTTTTCATTTCTTATTCCTCGTTTCTATTCAGCTTGACTTTGTGATTTTCGCTTTCCATGGTCTCTTCGGTTCTTTTCTTATTATTGTAAGATCAATCGGATCGACTGTTTGCCCCCGGTTCTTGGCCCCTTGGAATCGATAGGAGTGTGTTTGCAGAGCTGGGAGAAATTGGCATTACACCATTTTCTATATATTTTATTCCTCTATTATATCTCAATTTCAATTTTATTGCTCTCATATCCTCCATTCCTTTGCAATGATCTGTTGATCTCTTTCCAAGTTTGATGTAGCACATAGGAAGGTGCAGTAGTGGCTCGGCCCCAGGGCTGTGAAGAGCTAGAGAGTTATGGGCAGCTATTTTGGGACATCAATTTACCTATTGGTTACTTTCCTCTAGGGAAGTGATACTTTCATACAAAAGAGGGCTAATTTCCCACCCAATTAGGATTCATCATGTGAATACGAATGATACTCAGAGCCATGCAACGAGCCATCGAATTTCCACAACTCTCATTCATAAAGGACGTGTTTATATTTTGCTTTCTACACAGTTGAGGATGATAGACCATGAATAAATAATGCAGATGGGGAAAATCTTGAAGAACTATCGAGCTGATGAGGATCCTGGGCTTGATAAAGGGTTGGCGAGTGGGCACAGCCACTTATAAAAAGTGCTATTGTCCTGACAAGGGTCAGATCATTCTCATTGGGCCATATAGATACATCTTGTAATGGGATGGATCAAGTTTTGTTTTAGACAAGGCGTATAGCCATTGACAATATAGCAAAAAGATCGACAGAACTCATTGGAAGAAGCTAAAGAAAAAGAAAAGCCAGAAGTTCGAGAAAATTTCTAGGACAATGAGGTGTATACAACAATGGCTCTGTCCTTGACCCAGACACTCTGAGTGAGGACTTCTCATGTCTAACAAAGCAAGCAGCGTCAAACAGCCCAGTCATTTGTTATGCGCCATGTTGAGACAGCAAGGTCCAACAAAGCGATTTTACTCAAGACAAAGGTTTTGTGATCTGAGTGCGATCTGGTTCGGATGTTTTCTCTGGATAGAAAAAAAAATAGACAAGAAAAACTGATTCTTACCTGGAACTAGCCTAGAGAATGAAAGGCAAGTACTCCAAGATCTCAAACACAGACTCAATATGTTTCTTCGGTGCTTTGCATAAGAAGACGAGATGAGAAGCCATTTAACCATCATTTCCAGAAACAAGATCATCCAGTCTCATCATGGATACTCCAGACTTTACAATCCCCGACGACGAGCGCGTCAACGACGCTCATAGCGAGAATGCCCCGAAGCCCAAGAAGACTCGCCGCAGCCGCTACGACCCCGAGCCCGACTGGTCGGCCATGGTACGTGCCAAGGTCACCAAGGCTCAACACCGTGTCGGCCAGGCCTGTGATCGTTGCAAGGTACGCCCATTCATATCCTGATCTCGCGTTGGCTTTGGCTCAGAACACCGCACTAACGCATTTGTATGTCTAGCTCAAGAAGATGAAGTGTACGCCCGATCCTGAAGGCTGCGGCTGTTGCCTTGTCCTCAATATCCCATGCAAAGTCACTGACCGTGTCACCGGTGAGACCTGGGTGCGTGGTGAGGCTGGGCGAATGCGGAATCTTATCGAGAAGCTCAAGACGCAGTCCGAGAACCTGAAGGAACAGGTCACGCAGCTTCAGCAGAAGAATACAGAGCTACAAGCCTGTCTGGATGATTCATACAGAACCAATCTTATGAATGACTCCAAGGTATGTCTTTCTTCCCGCTTTTGTAATTCACATTTTACATTGGCATATCCATGTCCTGATTCTTTGATTGAGGGCTAACTCAATTGCCAGCCGGATCTTAACCCCGGAAATCATCACCATACTCTCCTATGAGTGTGACGCCTTTTTCGCACATGCTATTTTTAGACAAGGTATCATGTCTCGAGGGCTTGGTTTGCTGTTTGCATCTGTTCCGTTCTGTCCAATATGCAATGTATGATCGAGAAACTGAAAATGGCACATGGCCATAAGATCCGTTGTTTGAGTACGCAAATGCTTTTATTTTGAATACTGTGGACGTTTTGTCACTTAGTGAAGTAGAGAATGTGAGAGACTTCTTACAGTAGATGGAAAAAGTAGATATGTTCATCTTCCTCCAAAAGGACATGTCAGTGGGTATAATGCAGTATGATCCCGATTCGTGAACCGGGTATCCAAAATAGAAATGAATGCAAATAACCCTTGCGATTTTACCAGCTGGCATTGCTTTTCCAACAACAACAGATTCCTTTACTTTCACACCATTCCCGGACAGACGCAGTGCCAACCTCGCGATCTTCGCCCACAAGCCCCAGTCCTTCGACATTGAGCCAAGCGGTGAAATCTTCGAGGATGATAGGGTCATACATGAGGATTTTTTCATGCCATGTCGGTCGAATACGGCCACCACGAGACGATGATAGTGGCGAGAACCGAGGCTGGACCCGAACAGCTTGGGTGATTCGCGCAGACATACCTGCCAGATTAATTTCTTTAGAGGATTCTGCTGTGTGTGTGGCTGTGCGTGTGGCTGTGAGGGATGCAGAGGATGCTGGCCCTTTGGCTGAAATTCTGGAAGAAAAAACCTTGCCCTTGGTTGGACTTGGTGACGGTGTTTTCGTGAGGATTTCCAAAGAGCGTTGGTGTGCTTGGCTGTCTGCCTTGCACTTTGAATAGATGTCGGTATAGTGCCTTTGTACTTGACTTGGAGAGGGAATGATTTCTTCTTCCGAGTCTTGGATCTCTTCCACATCAATGAATGACATAGAGGTCTCAGTGATAGGCTTTCCTTTGGGGTTTTTCTTCGGGCCTGTCTGGGGATTGGATTGCGAGGTAGACGGTGATTTCGTCGCGTCAAGTGATTTTCGGTCCTTTGTAGATGTCGCAGATTTAGACTTCACCGTCGCCTTTGGCTTCGCATCCATGGTGGGGGTTGGAACATTGTCCATCTTAGACACAGTTTCTTTCTGTTGCTTGGATTGGCGAGCAGGTTGGCTGCCAGAGGTAGCATTGCTACCATTTTTCGATTCCCAACATTGTTGAAGGAGATCGATCATCTTCTTGCGGCCTCTGACTGGCTTGAAACCATAAGTGGAAACCTGTTTAGACAATTCCATATCTGTGAATCCGGAGTATTGTGGCATGGAAGGCGCCTGCGAGGTAGTTGGCTGGGAACCAGCCGCTTCAGTCGGGGGACCATCGGCTCCCTTTGCAGGCTTTGCAGCTTTGTCTCTAGCCTTGGGCATGGTAGTAGCTGTAGCTGTAGGTACCGTAGCTTGAGCCTGCATATCTGAGCCCAAGGCCCTTTGGGCCAATGGTAGCGATGATGATCTCTGTTCTGAGGGTGAATCTATGTCGGCGAACTCAAGCTCAAACCAGTTGCTCGCAAGAGTTTCGTGGCCTACTCGTCCTGCTCGTTCCAATTCCACAGTGTCGTGACTCTTCTTTGCGGGGGTTTCTCCTCCACCCGTCAAGTCAACCATGTTGAGTGTTTCTGGCTCCATCAAAGAACCTTCGGTGTCTCTGGCGCCAACACACCACAGATTCCTGGTTCCTGCCAGCCTTGATACAGAACAAGAAGACGACTCTTGGATCGCTGTAGAGTTTGTGCTGTGCGTCCCTTCTGGAGATGACAGACCTTCGGAGGCACGGATGGCTTGCTGGGTTTCTCGTAAAGTCCGCGGCGAATCATCTCTTTCCAATTGACTGCAGGTACCAAATACAAGATCTTGGTCATTAAGAAATTCGACAGCTGCTTCCGGGGGAAGTACAGTGAACGAAGATTCTTTCTCTGTCTCTTTGGTCTTTCTTCGGCTTGCTTTTGCCTTCCTGATGTCTGGAAGACGATTAATTACCGGCTCATCGTCTTCTGTGTCGAGCATTGAATATTGCGCAGTCATGCGCGCCGTCAAGGTGGTAAACTTCTTAGGCTTGCCCTTTGTTGTCTTTTTGGGTATTCCCGATGCCATATTTTCTCCTTGCGCGGATGCCCGTTCACTTGAATCAGAGTACCTTTCATTGGACAATAACTTTATCTCAGGATTGACTAGCTCTATCCGTCGACGCTTTGTTGGTCCTCCGCCAGTCGCATTCTGCACAACGTCGCGGGGTATCAAAGCCGACCCAGAATAATTGTAGTCGGATAGCCGCTTGCCAAATCCACCCGCAAGATTCGAATCACGGTCTTTATCCTGGCTGTCACCATCGTTCACGGTAGCAATTTCCTCGTAAGCGGTATCCCTTGGTGGTGTCCAGTCCATCCTTCTCCTCATTGCCTCATCTAGATGCAATGCTTCATCCTCTTTCAAAGCATTTGATTCCCCGAGAGTAAGTTCCTCGGGTATGTCTTCCGAGGAGGATACTTTTGTGGCAACCGTCTTCTTTTCACCTTTGTTGGATTTCTTTGCTAGTGGATTGACGCTCGTCTTCGTAACTTTCCCAGCCAGAGTCATATTTCCTGTATCTTTGCTCATGATATTCTTGCGAGGACGACCTTTGGTCGGTTTCACCGCTTCATCTTTCGTGCCTGCAAGCTCTGGCTGGGCGTCCCCAAGCGCAATTGTTCCTGCCGCATCTGCGGCTTTCTTCGCCTTCCGCCGCGATTTGCTCGATGCAGTTTGGTTGCGGGGGTTTGAAGTAGGATCCTTCTTGATCGATCGTTGTTTCGGTCTTGTCACGTCCTCAAAACACTTGGTGCTCGGGATTGGAGTGGGAAAAAAACGGGAACGCGTATGAGATTTAGACAAATCGGCTGTCGGGGGTATTGGTGGTGGCGTTTCGCCTCGTGGCAAGAGTTGAGTGACCCGCTTCGCATCATGCCTAGCTGGCCCTGGCGACTGTGGTGGATTTGGAGACGATGACAAAATGATCACATCTGCAATGCTGGCCATCGTCGCGAATGGCGTCTCAGGGTGTTATGATCAGGGAGAGTCGCATGTACTGTTTGAGTTTACTATATCAGACATTAGGCAAATTTCACACTGAAGGCAAAGCAGTATCAAGTATATGCAAGTCGGACATGCTGGAGAAGTAGCGTTAGGAGATCCGAGTTCAATGTTTCGATCTAAAAGGGCGGATCGGCCGCGGTCTTGGCAATATTTTGAGTTGGCTACATAGTTCGGCCGGGCAACCAACTGTATGCATTCAACCTCAGCCGAGTAGATTTATATAATGCAGGCTAAGTACTGGGATCATTCAATTCCGAGATTAAACAAAACATTTTGACTGTCTTGTATCACAACATACAAATGGTCAGGGCCAGACGCGTCGAACCATAAACAGACCCTGCACCTCTAGAATATTTCGTTCAATTCATCATGATCTTGACTTCGTGCACTTTCTCGATAAAGAGATCTGAAGTGATCTCTGCCCATCACTGGGGCTGAGTAACAGTAGACCTCAGAAAAACCATACGACCTGCTTGTGACTGATGATGGGTGTATTCTGAAAGTCAATTTGGAGTTCAAGATGTCCCACTCTCCCCATAGCAGACTTGAGGCATTTTGGGCACAGTGAATTTGGTGGCTTGATATTGGCAATTGCTCATGATCCCCTCAATGCAATTGCACTCAGCAAGGAATTTTCGAGTCTTTGCTTAACCTCATCATTTTCCTTGGCAGTTGGCGAAGGCAAAGCCCCTAGCTTGTACGCTTTCTTGATCTTGTTGATATCAGAGATTTCGGATAGTGTCTGATCATCGAAACGTGCAGGTGTTCCTTCAACCGAGCTGTCCAAGTGGGCCGCGACGGATTCATGTGTTATCTCCGGAGACACAGAGACCTTGATCACCAACAAGTCTTTGGTTGAATCGGAAATACCGAATCTACGGAATGATTCCGTGATCTAAGTCCGTGTTAGTCCCGGCTTTAGTAGCAATTGCAGCTAATTCCTAAAATTGGCGACGTACATTATTTGTAGGATTCATTGAGAACACGATCTCGGAATGAACATTATGCGATTTCAGTCGATTGTGCATGTAATCATTAACTGCTCTGAATACTGCAGCAGTGGCGTGAGCTCTTGACAGAACCTGTCGCTTAGTGTTAGTGGACTAGTTCCTGATATTAGCTCTCAATGACAGCTTGACATACCATGCTTGCATCAATAAATGCATACTGGAAATCTGTTTGGCCAGCGAGTAGTTGACCCTTCAGAGAGGCGGCATTTTGAACATCGCGATATAGAGCAACATGCACAGGCACCGATGGTAGATGTGGCAGGCTGATTGTCTCTAGACTTGAGGCCATGGCTGGAATCGAACTAAAATTGAACTGAAGAAGATGACGTATTTGTAATCAGGCCGATCTGATAAAAAAATACATAAAGTGAGCTCTGGCGGTTCACTGTGAGTCTACAAACCCATCCCACTTCTTGATGCACGTGACTAATTCTGGAATTTTCCGGATTTAAGCGGTCGCCGGCGGAATATGAGTAATCGCCTGCATATCACCCGTGGGCCCGACATTTAAACGTCGCCTCTCTTTCGACTCTCGACTATCCCCATCGCAAATATGGCTTTCTTCCTACGGCGCCCGTTCGCTGTATCCTCGGCACTGCGCCAGGTCCCTAAGCTCACAAACACCACCCGATTCATTCACAACTCCCCCATCAAGCCTACCCAAGCAACAAAGCCTCAGGGCGTTTCATCATCGATCTTCGCCAAGTCCCGACAGAACTTCCAAAATGCCTTCCGCCGTACATATATGCAGCAGAGCTTCAACCCTGCCCAGGATGGTAATATGACGCAGAAACTGTTGTATGGCGCCGCCATTATTGGTGGTACAGTTCTGGCAACCAACTTCATCTTCAACCGTGAAACGAGAGAAGACGGCGGTATGCCTGCTTACGAGCAGAGCTACTTGAATCAGACTTTCATGCACACTGGTCTTGGTGTTGGTATCATTGGTGTTGCTGCTCGTGCCCTCCATATGAGCGGCTGGTCTTATCGTCTCATGGCCATGAACCCGTGGCTCGTTATGGGTGTCGGTCTCGTTGGCAGCATCGGCTCCATGTACGGCACTTTCTACACTTCCCCGGATAAGTAAGTTCTTCGCCAGTTTTTTTATTTAATTTTCCAGAAAGACACTGACCTTTAATTAGCTACATGATGAAGTATGGCTGCTGGACTGTCTTCAACCTTACCCAGGCTGCTCTTCTTTCTCCCTTGATGTTCATGAATCCTGCCATTCTCGCTCGCGCTGGTCTTTACACTGTTGGTATGATGGGCTCAATCGCTTTTGTCGGTGCTACTGCCAAGCAGGAGAAGTACCTCTACCTGGGCGGTCCCCTTCTTGCCGGTGTAACTATCGTTGCTCTCTCTGGACTCGCCCCCATGGTCCTCCCTGCTACTGCCGTTCGCACTCTGATGTGGTCTGAGCGCCTCTGGCTGTACGGTGGCCTTGCTGTCTTCGGTGGTTTCACTCTTTACGATGTGCAGAAGATTCTGCACCATGCTCGTCTTGCTGAGCGCGGCTTGATCAAGCGTGATGTAGTCAACGAGTGCGTCAGCCTCGAGTTGGACTTCATTAACATCTTTATTCGCATGGTCCAGATCCTCGGCATGGGCAATAACCGTCGCTAAGCTACTTTATATCCACTTTTTTAATTGGATAATCTGACCTCGGTTTGTCCAACACCAGAATTGGTGATTCTCTTGTTTTTCTCATAGTCATTGAACAACCCCTCCCTGTATATGAACCAAATGTGTATTTATCTCTTCCCTTCTACCTTTTGACTTTTTTTTTTCTTTTTTTTTACCGTTCTTTGGTCTTTGAACCTTGATGCTTCTTCATACGGACAAGGGCAGTTGATCGCTGTTTTCTGCTTGCCGAGAGACATAGAACAGACGGGGTAGCGAATACAATCTCCACTCCTTTGACATTTCTACTGCGTATAAAAATATCGCTGACAATGATTCGAGTCTGCAAACTCTGTGTTTGGAAGAGACTAGAAGACGCTCCAACCTGCAAAATTGGGAAGCAAAGTAACAGTCATCTGTGAGTCAACTATTCGGCGGGGTTTAGTTCTGGTGATAATGCGTCGCAATATCACTTTTGGTAGAGATTTAATGACACAACTGGCTTTCGTTTTCTACAACACTATATACTACGTGGGATTTTGTTAATTCGATGATACTCCGAAACGAGATCAGCATGATTTCAACGTTTACATATGTACATGTACCAGGGTCTCGGACTTATCAGCACACCGATCTACAACATAGGAAGGGTAGACTGTGGTCATGTGACTGACGGCTTTCTCTCGAAGGTGAGGTTGCCCGAGACCGCCCATGAGACCGCCCAGTGATACCGCCCTCCGCCCTCTGCAGACTTCAGATCGCGATCCAGATTCAGGCTCATTGACCGCTACAAACGTGCAGGCTAAACCCCCCAACATCATACCAACACAATAACACAATCGCCTTGCGCCCCTACCTTACGATATGTCGAACGAGATGGAAATTGACCCTCCTGTCGCGCATGACGACGTTCCCGAGCAGTCAGATCGCAGTTTTGAACCACGCACCCAGGGCAACGCGGTCGCCGTGCGGAGTATCGAAGGATGGATTATCATCGTATCTAATATCCACGAGGAGTCATCAGAGGAAGATGTGACTGAACTCTTTGCGGAGTATGGCGAGATCAAAAACTTCAGCTTGAACCTTGATCGGCGAACGGGTTATGTCAAGGTATGCATCCTCCCACAAAGAACGCCTCATCTAAGATATGGGAACCTTTGCCTACCCTTTTTACATGCAATGAAATGATGTTTAACACAAAGGTTCCGGCAGGGCTACGCATTGATCGAATACTCCACTCTCCCCGAAGCCAGTGAAGCTATCCAGAACCTTAACGGATACAAGCTCCTCGAACAGACGCTTCGTGTCGATTATGCTTTTGTCCGCCCACCTCCATCAGGCAAGAACAAGAATGGAGGGCCAAAGGGCCGAGCCACTCGGAATCGCAGCAGAAGCCCCAACCGAAGCCGCAGCCCTGAAGCTGGCGGTGACCGGGACTAAGTCTTCCTGATGAATGGGAACAACAAAATTTGACCGGCATACGTTGCTTGTGATATTCCATTTGATACCTGGGCTTTGCTTTCTCTCTCATTTTCTCAATACCTCACCCTATTTCGTTCGAATTTTTGCCCATCATTCCTACCAGAACTTGTCTACAAACGATGAACATATCATCTAGTATTCGCCGGCACGACCCCTCTTCAGTCGAATCTGTATGATTCCACAGGTCAAGTGTGGGTGTCCATGGAACACATACACACAAGAGGTATGTGCCGGCGCCATGATAGATTGCCATAATGGTATGAAAATTCGCTCTTAAGCTTTGACTAGAAATTTGCTGATATGGACTCAGAAATGAAGGGCCCTTTGATGGAAATTGAACATTTGTGTTTGAGCATCTGGTCAACAAAGACAACCCTGGACCCCAAAGCCCAGCAACTTCTGGGAGTAATGTACATTATGAAGAATGGATTTTCTTAGTTATGAGCGACCTTTCACCTGTCCACATTTTTTGAGAATTATTTTAGGACGAAGCCAAAAGAGTACATGAGTTTTCCTTAATATATGTTGTAGTATATCTATGTAACATCCCCTATGGGGTGGGATGCATCATGCGACAGCCATGTGGCGTCAGGTAGGGTCGATAAATATTCCTTGCACGTTGGAGCTAGTGTTCTAGGGTCAGGAGGCTTTGGTGGGAGTTCGCATAGTAACAATAATGATTGAATGCCACACCAAATTGTTGTGGAGGTTCTCACCTGACCACTGCAGACCTCACCTGCCCAGATGGCCCTGACCCGGGGCATCAGGGTGACTAAGCTTAACCCTATCCGGCTCCCCATTTTCCCCGCATGGCGCATGCGGACATCGCTC